ACACTTTAGACGAACTTTCGGTATGAAGTAACATCTTTTAAACAATCACCCGCCAATTAAATTATTAAGGAAAAACGTCAAAGAAAAGAGTATAATGAAGTATTGGTCAGTGCTCAAAGATTACTTTGGGTTAGATAAAAAAATCATTTGGAAAACTCCTTCACTCTCTATTTACTCTTGCTTCATTAGGTGACTTTGGAACTTTATCGAAACCCCTTTGGAAGTAGATATATAAAATACATAATAATAATATAATATCTGCTCTGAATAATGTACCTGCTGAAATTCTTGCGGCTGATCATTACAGTGTAATGGACTGGAAAATTAAACTGAATTAGAACTGTTAAATGTTATAATTTAAGTACTCTCTGGTGTACAATATCAACGGTGGTCCGATAACCTCATGAAGATCGCTCGAAGTCATGGGATCCGGGCAGCACAGGACCGCTTGTTGTAGAGAACCTTGAGAGAGGCCTATGTCCAGCAGTGGACGTCTTTTGGCTTAGATGTTGATGAATACGAGTACCAACGCAATTTTAATCGAGTATGTAGAATTTAGCCAAGCTGTTAGCATATTTTAAGACCAGTTAATTGCAACAAAAGAAACCTTTTTGTTTATTATTTGTTTTAAAACCATAGTTAACAAATACACTTTCATGATTACATTTTTTTTATTACTAGATATTTATTTATTGACTCCAGTATACATTTTTATTTATTTTATGTTTCTGAAAGCCACTCATCTTAATGAATTTAAAACTGCATGCTTCATAATTGCCCGCCCTCTCTTTTATGATATAATCTTTATTCATTTTCAATTCTCTCTCAATTCAAAATAACATTCAGTACTGTATTAAAATTCAATTAATATTTAATTGAATACCAATTGTTACTTTATCACGGAGTCTACATAACGGGCCTAATATAAATCAGCTTTTTATAATAGGCTCTATATGCCTGATGAGTGTAGACGTCTTCTTAGAAGAATGAAAGTAAATTGAATATCTGTCTATTTTCCCCAGTAAATTATAGCATATGTTAGCACTGGATAAACATTCTCAAAATAAGCATTTCTAGTAACATCGATATTAATAGTTACTGCCACAATATATAACGCATAGTATAAACTTTATATTTTATTATATTTTAACTCCTCTAGCATTATTTTTTGACATCTTTACCGATTTTCAATCAATCACCATTTTAACGACCAAGTTTCATTTTCTCAGTCATATTAGAATTTAGTATCATGACATCATAATAACACATAAAGTAGAATAAAAGACGAATGTTAGAATATTTTTGATTCTATTTTAAACTTAATAGACTTAATTTTACACCCAATTATAAGTTTTGCAAGTCTCTCTTTCAACTCTCTGATTGAACTCTCTTTTTAGAAAAATATAACTCCCGCACTAAGAATATATCCTGAGTCGCCAGGGGCTTCACAAACATTCATGAAACGGATCTAAACACAGACTAAGAACAACAATTTGTTCATCACATAATGTGTTGTCAATGTGGGTATCGAACCCACATCACGCGCAGTTGGAAGCGGCGATGTGACTGCTTAAACCACTGCGCAATTAGTGTAGTCAAAGTCGTAAGTAACCATAATTATACTTATTCACGAAAAACATTATGATGTTTTAGATATCATGCTTCAGAAGACTATCAGACCAATTATCAATCTTAGCATCATGCACATTCATTTTTGTTCATATAAATAAAGATTATCTTTTAAAGTCATAAGCGTCATAAACATTAACTTTTTGTACCGCCTCTAGCCCTCAAAAAGTAAATAAGTCGTTTCGAGGTTTATGTAAAATAGTACACTTTATAACCAAATCCCTAAATAATATCCAAGTCTTAAATCTGGACAAATTCAAATTCGCATTTACGCGACACTCAGTGGTGGCTTATATAGACGACAAAAAAGCTTGGATCTACATTATTTTTACATTGTCAGGCTATTTCATATACGTGATAGAAATATAATGTTTCTCATATTCTGAGTTTTATGACCTTCTTTTTTTAATCTAATGTTGTCTTGTTTATTTTTCAGTATCGATACTTTTATAGCTAAATTTTAGTTTGCTCACTTTGAATCATAATACCATAATACCGTATTTATCATACGCGTCTCTTTCTTCGTTTTACTAAATAAAAACTGCAGTATCCGGAATATCAAAACAGTGTCGTGAATTTCGTTTCATTGAATTCTGCTCACAAGGTTCAATTATTTGCAAACAAACTGCCTGACACTGATTGCATTAAATAGATTGCAATCTGGTCTATTTATAAACAATATTATTCACTTCTATAGATATTTTTTATTAATATATTTACCTTTACTTTTGACAAAGCGATATATTGTCGCGTTGACAATGTATCTTTTAATTAAAAAATCATTTGTTCACGTGTAAAAAAATATAATGCAACTATTTACTATTTATTATTTTAACAGCAATCCTATGAGGTTAAAAGGTTTAACAAGGATTAACAAATCATAATGCCCAATCGTTACGACCACCTTGTTGTTGTTAATTCTTGAGAAGTTTTTTAATTGCCGTTTGTTTCCGTCATCTATTGTTTTCCAAGGTCATGTTTAAAGCATTCATAAATATTGTATGCTAAGTATTAGAGACGGTTTTCAGATGAAAACTCGATACCGTTGTTTTTTTTAACAAATTAAGAAGAAATCGGACTACCCCGTGGTATGCGTGGTAATATATAAAAAAGTACGGCCACGCTTGATAAACTCTATCTGTATTTTTATCGTAAACAAGTGAAAATTAAGTGTCCGATTACATCTTGCGCGTTACTATTGTCACGCCACAAATGGACACGTTGTGTTATGAATAAAAGAGCCAAGTGTGAAATGACCGTTCTTTTATAAGAACCCAATGCGACGACACGTTTTTATTACATTTATATCTTTTGTTCTTTGAAAAAATATAGGTATGACCACATCACTTTTATTCATTCTGGAAATCGTTTTATCTTTCTTTATAAATATATGTACCCGTATAATTTCTATCTTAGTATTTTTTTAAATAAAATAAATTAAATAAAATAAAGTCTAGTATGATTTGTATTCACATAGTAATCATTCAAAGTTAATACAAAAAAGTGTTTATAGAATTGTTTGTTGTCAAAATTAGTTTATTTTTTAAATTATTGGTTAATGGCAATTCTGCCAAAATCTAAACTAAACTGCCAGGGTTTTGCTGTGATTTTAGTCAAATGTATTGTTGCGGTTAGCCTGCAGTCTAAAGTACATTTTAAGTTAGTCTTAATTAGTCTGTACAAGTGAATTTTATCTTCGAGAACTGTAATGAGCATATTTTTGTCCCTACTATTTTATTTGCTTATTTTTTTTCTTGGAAACCTACCAAAAGGATATAAATAAATACTGTACCTATTATTCAATAATAGGTATGATCATAGACCATTAAAACAACAGACTGAAAACCCCTAAGTAGAAAAAGCTTAAACTATTTTATATTCTAATAACTGAGTCTATTGACGCGGTTTATAACTTGAACAGTTTAACATGGTTTAAACCTTGGTAGGTATATTTCTATTCTAATAATGATATTAATATTTTATTTGTTATAGTATTCATTTTGTATGTATTGTATTCAATTCAATGATAACGTATAGGTTTGTTTAGTCTTTGTTTGCTCTTTGTGCATGTAGGTTTTAATATTTTGAATTTGTGCACACAGTCTAAAGATCAAAAGTGGTAATGTATTTTTGTGTTTCAACTGAATGATTGAAATTATGTCAGCTGTGATTGTGTACACGTTTTTAGAAGATTTTAACCTTTTCAGGTGAGTCCGATGACCCATCTGCTTATATGGCCTCCGATAGCTAAAAACTCTCGGACACTCGGTAAAAAACAGCGGAACAATTGCGTAACGCCGATTTGCAAACAAAACAGTAACAACTAAAAATAATGCGTAGAATCAATCGGACTTGTTTATAAAACCCCCTTACATCAGCTATCAAGTAACTTATTCAACTAATTGGATCGGAATGGACGTGTAAAGCAAACGTTCTTCTTTATATTATTACCTTCTCACCTTTTAAAGAAGTCAGACTGCATCTCTTCTGTAGTTTTCTTATGCAGAGTTGAGGTTAAAATAAAACAAAAAATAAGTTCATTATCGATATTATTAGATAATTTTAAAATGCGTTTCGGTACTTGAAAGTATCATTTACATGTCTTTATCTGAACATACATTTAGATTGGATAAGTTTAGTAGAATTCAATAAATTAAAGTTATACCCGTGTTTAATGTTTATAAGTAATAAATTATATTTACATAATAGGGTACAAAATTTGTATAAATTATTGGAATAGGTTTTGATAGTAGTCGGTAAGAATATATTGTCTTATTACAAATAATAAATACATATCCACTGGTTAATAAATAAAGACACAATTCTTTGGTATGTTCTGTTTGAAAATTAAATCTTAAAATCTTTGTTTCATAACTAGAATTCTTTGAGAGTAATTCGCAAAATAATTATGAGGGAGTACAATCACAGCAAGCAGTGAAGCGGTGATGTTTAATTCATTATCATCTACATTGATAATACTTAACACCAATCTTAGAAAAGTTCTCTGAAGACCACAATAAATAGTTTAATTATTTTTTAATGCTACCAGACTCGAGGTTAATCTTACCCAAATAGCCTATAAATAATAAATATTTTACAAAAGTTTTTATAAAAACTATTTTTTTTGTTTTCACCAGGACATAATATAAGAGAATTATCAGGAGACTAGTACTAAGGTAGTTCAAGGTTCGCAAAACAATTATAATTGTGATAATTATTTTCGGTTAATTAATGGGTAGATATTAAATACCTCGAGTCGCTTTATCTTAATAGTAAGCACTTTGGAATCTAATTTTACTATACTTTACATAGCCATATTCACTATTTGCTACATACACTTAGAAAATCTACATAATTACAAAGATTTTTTACTAAGAGTCTAGACTTTTAGAATTTTTAAGAGATCTTGGTTGTTGTACAGTTTTATTTTTCTTACTCTTGTTATCTAAGTTAAAAGTTTCACTGTTATTAGCTGGAGTATTAAAAACAGAGTTCTTAGAGCTGGGCACACTGTTCCCAGGAGAGACGCCACTGTCGGTGCTGACCGACGCGGGGCTCGGGCTATCACTCACACTATTGCAAACTGTCAGCTCCTGACCGGGAATAGAGACAATCTGACCTATAGGCTTTTGCCTGACTAGATTAATGCTTTGGCACTCTTTACTCTTCACTTCAACATCATTCGATTCCTTCTTATGATATCTCGTCAATGTTCCCGCTGAACCTGCGGAGTTCGGTTGATACAATGGCGCAAAAGGAGATTGTGGATAATACTGAATATCAGCAGGCACTTGGCCACGAACCCAAGGACCCATAGTCGATACCACATTCGGCATATGTGTCCACATTGGCATTTGGACCATGTGTGACCCCTCTGGCAATTGGCTGAAACCTGGCCCGACTGGCATAGGATGTACCACACCTACAGGCGTTGGAGCACTGTGTGGCCGCAAAGCCGGATGATGAGGTGCATACTGTCCTACAAATTCCTCACCTTCATAAATTCTTGTCGGAGGTGGATTTTGAGCGTCATACATGTTTGGGAAAACTGTATGTGGACTTCTCTGCAGATATGTAAACATTTGTTGCTGTGCTTGTTTCATTGCTACGTACTGCTGTAGATGTATTGCAGTTTGCTGTCTCTGCTGTGAAAGATCTTGTGCCATTGCCGCTGTTGTAGCATTACCATGTATGTAGTAGATATGAGGCTGAGCGTTTGAAACTTGAGGAGTACTTGTTACTGGAGTCTGTCTTTGTACAGGGAATTTACTATTGTCAATGACATTATTTTGGGGGTCTTGATACTCTTCGGGGGGTGCTATGTACTTCGGTGATGATGGTGGTGTAACTTGTTGTGAGATTGGATAACTAATTATCTGCGCTATGTATGGTTGTTGACATTTTGCAGAGTGTGCGGGACTATGGGTTTGGAATGTTGGATTAAAAGTTATTTGAGATATGTCCGGACTTTGTGTTCCTTCTGTCTCTTTGTGATTCGACCTGATTTCATTTGACTCATTCTTTTTAATTTTTGGATTGTAAGGTGCCACCTTAGGGTTGTTTTTCCAGTTAGCTCCAGCACTTTGTGGTCTTTTCACTGGAGATTTGGTAGGATCATGCCAGTTATCACCATTGTTTTGTCTAGGATCTGGTGGATGATGTGACTGGGCACTTTGAGCTCTTCTAGGCGGTGGTGACATGCCGTCTGGAATATGTTGTCTGTAGCACCTTCTGCCTGATCCTGGGCTGTTTTGTCTTTCTGGAGGAGGAGGTATAGGCCTTGGGACTCTTCTTCTAGCTGGTGTAGGTGGACTAGGCTGTGTTAGTGAGGAATGTGTTAATTGTGAAGCCGATTGCCATTGTTCTATAAGCATTTTTCGTCTTTCTGCCTCTAATCGAATTTCTGTCTCACTGGAAGAATCGTAGTCTTTACCCTGAAAAAATCAAGTATTTAAATTTTATTTGGTATTTGCATTAAAAAAAATCATTTATTTTAAAAAAAATTACGCTATCTATTCTTTCATCCAGCATTTTGAAGAAATCTTGCTGACTTGCAGACACCTCACTGTAACAAAAAAAAAAACAAAAATCATACTACTTTACAATTAAATCTATAATAACTATATAAATCTATTTATAATTAAAGTAAAAAGACACCGACGATGTCAGTAATTCTACCCAAATACTCGTACAAGAAAATACTAAGCTAAGCCTAATCACGGTTTATTATCGTACGGAGAAACTAATATTCGTCCTGAAATTTTGTTACCTGCCTACTTTTTTCTAACTTTTATAATTTAGACTATTCCAATTCACTGTTGGACATCAGTCTCTCCCAATGTTCGCTAGAATAGATCTTTAATGTTAAGCCTTAAACATTCAATCAATCTCTGCTACCAAACAAGGTAGTACTAGTAGCCCTACTAGCTCTGTACTCTCTCGTACGTCTCTCTTTAGACGTGTGTGTGACGGTAATTTTGATGCTTTTATAACCCTATTATCAATTTTATTTTTAAAACAATCTTCAATGAAAGCTCGCTCAATAGTAGACTTTCTAATGTAAACTATACTATTAATGTTTACATCTGACATCGTAGTTCATCAAGGTAGGACTGGTTAAATATGTTCAGACCTTTTCTTTTATAGGGTAAGGTGGTTTTGTCGTCAACATTACTGCGATTGCCTGCATTGCGAAGCGATTTAATTGATACTGAATCATCATCATCATCAACAGCCTTTAATAGGACATAGGTCGCTCCTTAGAAATGTTTTAGCCTACTATACGCACTACACTCTGGTCAGACCGATTGGTATAGGGTTTGTTTCAAGTTTTCCTTCTCTTTACAGTGCTGCTTTCCTGCGTAGTTTACTCCCTTAGTTGGCTCTGGTGAGACTCCGTATTCTTAACTGTCACCACACGGATATTAAATCTGGAGTAATTTTTTTTTATTACAATGTCTTGCTTTTTCTGTCGCTGATGATGGTTAAAGCAGACACATTATATTAGATTTATTAAAATCATTTCATTAAAATTTCAGAAGATTCATTAAAATCTTAAGAGTCTTATATTTGATTAAAACTCACATAACAGTTTGATGAGATGCCAGGGGCAGGATATGCTTTCCCTGTTCCGGTTCTTCCTCAGTCTCCGCAGGAGGGACGGAACCGCCTGTCGTGCCTTCTTCTTCATCAGCCTCCTTATCCGCTGCTCCTGTGGAGAACATAATGATGACTTTTTAATTGCCTATTTTTTAAACACAACTTTCTTACATCTCTTTATGGTGTATGAAAAAGAAATGTTTGGTTAGTATTTTAAATACTGCATAATAAAAACTCACGAAACACTCACAAATTTTGCTAAATAAAAAGAAATGTTCTATAGGACTAATTTTTTTATATCTAGTTTTATATTATAACTGTACAAGCATTCAAAACTATCAGTTTGAAACCTTGCCTCATTTTGAAACAGTCAAACTGATAGCACATTTGTTACAGTTTCTTCTCTGAGTTTTTTACAATAAAAATTGATAACGATATTTCTAGTTTAAAAATCCATATGGCTTTTTCAATATTCTTATCTAAAATAAATTTTGTTTGGAAGAAATTACAAATGCATATATGAACATTAATTACTTTTTTCATGTCCTAAGGTTCTTTCCTATAGACAGAGAGAAGCTACAAATAACGAACTGAACTAAATATTGTAACGTTTGTTTGGACTTGTTAAAACAAATACTGTATGTTTATTTCTGACCGCGTATGTGTGTAAATATGTATGATCGTGACAATAAATATTAACAAACATAATTCAGGGTTTCCTGAGTTAATGATTTGAAAGAAATAAATTGTGAATGAATTGTAAATGTGCCCAAGGTCTCCGTATTCATAAGTATAACCAATCAGATGCCGGTATTTATAGAACCTTTCTAATTAGCATGATAGCAGAAAGTTGAAATGTTGTTGAGGAAATTCTTCGCAAAGTTCCGAGACTACACAAATGCCTTTGACATGCTCTGGTACGGTAGCAGCTTAATTTTAAGGAACTATCTATCGTTGTAAATGTTGAAATACTCATTTTTTCTTTTCAGAGGGAAAACTATTTCTATTTCGTTGTCTTATAAGTAGGTACCATTTCCATGGCCATATGTTTTTTAATTAGAATCTACACCCATTTGTAAATAAAAGAAAAAAAATCTGAGGGGTTGGGGGGGGGGGGGTTACTATTTAAAAGATGTCAAAATTATTGACTGTCTCGTTATTATATCACGTTAATTACATTAATAGGTATATCACTATCAGTTTTACTACGAAAATACGAGTCGTCAGAGTGTAAAGAGTATCTTTACATTGTATAAAATAAAGTCGCTTGTTTGTGTTGTACGCTTAGATCTTATCAACTGAGCAACAGATTTTAATGTGGTTTTCACCAATAGAGTGGATGGTTCAAGAGGAAGGTTTCTATGTATACAACATGCAAATTATAGTAGGGAAAATCCGAGAATTTCTAAGATTTATCATAAAAACTTGTTTTTTGTGCGCTTACATTGCAAACGGTGGCTAAACCTTACGAGATAGACCAAAATAATGTAGTACGGAATTGTATGTCTTAAAAAGATCTACAAAAAAATATACGATGGTATATGTCTATCTCCTAAGAATAACCCACAGTAACCATTTTTATCTTTTAAATATCACAAAAAAAATGGTTTATTACTATTCCTTATCCAATTAAATACTTTAGATACGTTGTGCATTTAATGCAGATTAAAAATGCTCTTTACAGCATATCATTAAAATAAATATTTAAGAAGATATTAAAATGCGGGGGGCAAAGCAGTCGAAAAATGCAGAAAAATATACTTATGTATTCATCATAAGTCTTTATGATTTTATAATTAGTGTTCAGGTCAAAAAATTTAAATATATTGTTCATCAGCTATATTTAATGAACGAAAGCGAAACTTCATCTTTTTATTAGAGTTAATTACAAAATTAATGTTATCAACATCAGCAAGCACGTCAGCAAAGCAAACGACAGACTTCACCACAGTCGGGTCAGGTTAAAACATATTTTGAAGTTCATTTAAATTATAAATAAATAAACGCATTATTCAGTCCAAATTATGTATAATATATTCAAATATTTATGAATTGTAAAATTCCCTGTAAATTCAGTATTCGTGTTCAACCTCATAAATCAGAGAGAGAACTTCGAGAGGTTCATCCGAGAAGCTTGTTCATAAAATTGAACGCCAGTCCTTGAGAGCCTTCGAGCCGAGATTAACGACGGGCCGCCACACGTGGATAACGAAACTTGGTGCCCTAAAAAAGTATTAAATATTCCACCCTGTTTATATAGGAGCGTTTAATTTCTCTTAGATATGGTATAAGTTTAGGCATAAAAAATAGCCATATTTTTTTGTTTTTTTTTTTTAATATTACAAGTTGATTCTTATAACGACAGACTAGATGCTATTAGGTTTAGCTGCAGAAATCGTTGACTATTCTTATATAAAATAATAGAGACTTTCAGTACACTTACTACACTCGGTTTTTTAAAGGTTGATCAGAATATTGTTCAGCTAACTGAGCCGTTAATATAAAAGCGGTGTCATATCAGTTGAAACACTGATCAATGAAAAAAAATACTAACAGCGTTTAAACTTTGGAAAGGCTTTTGACATATGATTTTGAAGTGAAATTTGACTCATAACAAGTGTGATGATCATATACCAAAGTACCTAATTATGCTTTCAGAGACTCAATATATACTTGACAAGAAATTGAGATATTACTAGTAAATTTTTGCGTTGATCACCGTTTTTGAAACCGAGTGTTAATTATGTAGATTACTACTTTAATCCATTAAATAAATTTAAATTAAAAAAAATATATATTATTAATTCAATTAGCATAGCTAAAATTTATTTAGAACGGTTAATGTGCTTTACAAATACATTTGTCGATTGAAGAGCCCTTAAGCATCGTCGGCGAAGTTGTCTATTTATAGGCTTTTTATATTTATTTTAGTGAGTGAATTCTCTTCGAATTTATTATAATTGTTAATTTCAATCCTTCATACTACAGCAGAAATGTATCCTTATCCTATCTTAGTAGTCCACATCGCTACATCCAAACCAACAGGGCCTCAATTCTGCTATTTTAATATTGTATCAAGAAACTCGGATATGAATCGGAATCGGAATATGGAATAGTTTTGCACTTACCCTGTTCCACTAACTATGTAACCAACCAATGGCCTCCTGATGACTTGTCACTGATACAAATATAGTCGATGTCTTTGTAACAGTTTGGTAAATGGTTCGTTTTAAATTTATGACACTGTGAATTTATGTTAGTAGAATACTGATATTTTGACCGATGTCAATGGCGTAGCAATGGCATCTCAATAGCGTGTCAATAGAATAACAGTGACTTGGCGTTAACATAAAGTAGTAGAATTGAGTCCCTGGCCTCTGAAACATAGTTGTATTTTAAAGTTACAAAGTTAGAAAATTATAATCCGCTTAAGAAATATCCTTTGACGTAGTTCAATTAATTTTCAATTCCGAGAAACACTTGAATGCTAAACAATAAACAGACGGTTAGATCTCCAACGTTGATTGCCCTCCATTAACTTTTTAATCTTCAACGTAATCCGTCAAATTTTCCAACTCCGTTCGTCAGAATTACTTCAATAAAACTTAAAGTTATTTGAGTTTGTAATTATTGGACAACAAATTAATCTGTGTTAGTGATTAGATAATATTAGTATCAAAGTACTAAATTTATAAAAACTAAACATTAAAGTATAACAGTATAAAGATATGCGTATTCATAATTGTTATTTGTAGAACAATTACTTAAAATACACGCGCAGTGCTAGCCTAAATATATTCATTCCTCAATGTCAATTACGATAGTCAGTCAGAGTAAAGACTGCACGAATGGCGTAATGGTTTAAGCTTCCTACTACGCTGAGTGTTGTGGGTTTCATCCCCACATGGGTCGAAACTTTGTGTGATCCACGAATTGTTGTTCTGAGTCTGAGTGTTCTTTGTGTCCGCAGTCTAATGCGGGAATCGTCTTTTAAAAAAAGTGACTACGAACTAGAGGGGTGGAGTTTGGTCTCCGGTAACCTCACTCACTCGTTGAAAGGCAAGGAAAGAATTTCTTGACACTGATTTTCTGTGATGCCGAGGTATGATTCCGGTCGAGCCGGCCCAGAAGTGCCGCAGTGTGGCTCTCCCCCAGCAAAATCTAGATAGGTAATAATAATCTCTGTTCGTATACTCTTACTCTTTATTCAGGAACACGACCATAGGCTATGGATCGCTTGGGATTCTCGGCACAATAATTATAACGCATAGTTAAGCAGTATTTATTAGGCTATTTAACTAACAAAAAAAATGTTCTGATTACCATACACTATGTCATGGGTTGCACTAGAGGCATTTCTTCACTAATGGCGATTTGGGATCACGAGTCAACTTCGTCATTCTACGATAATTGCCTAAAATCAAATAGATTTAATAAAATAAAATTGAAATGCATTATTCTGTCGACTGCTTCGTTTATTTATCAACAAGAAAGTCAATTTTTTTTAATAATCGTATAATTTGTAAATGGTAATAATAATATGTACAAAACTAAATATAAAATTAGTACGTAGATTATAAATGTTAATAAACAACGAAGCTATTGTCATGCCATAGTTAGTAGGTAATATGAAAAGTTTTAAAGAAAAAAAGAGAGAAGAATATGTGTATTAGTGGTTCCACTGTAAACCTGTCCTCGAATGCTTCAACCCTCGCTATTCAATCGATTGTCACTAATTAGCGAAAAGGTGCACACTATCGTGAGAAGTTATTTTTAAAACCGTTAACGACAGTTTTTAAAATTTGTTGAGACTGTTAGGTACATATATCTCATAAGGGGGTACCGCACGATCTCCTTTGAGGCAGCGAGTCTCCTGGCCGGAACTCCACCGTGGGACCTGGAGGCGAGAGCCCTTGCGGCACTGTATCAGTGGCGCAAGGAGGCGCAGAACGACCTCCGTCCTCCATAAGCGCAGGCCTGGGGGTGACAGGTGAGGCCATCTGTCACCCTAGCAGAAGCAGGCCGGGGTGGCGGCGAGCGCGTTGCGAAGCGCGCTCGCTTCCAGGGAGCACAGGGAACATGGGGTTCCCACACGGGGCGGGGGTCGTCTAC